TTTCAGTCTTGAAGCAAGGTTAGCAGCATGCACCAATTGCCATTCAAATCGTGCAGTAGTATGATTTTTATTGTGAGAACTTGATAACTTTCAAAGCCCTGAGTTCACAATCACTTGCAGCCTGTGCTTCCCATTTTGTCTTGCATATTCCAGCAGAATTTAAAAGCAGGTTATGACAATGCTATTTAATATATGAACGCCATAACGAGGCAGCATATGTTACCAGTTCACACGCCAACTGTGGTTTTTATGTATCTCAGTAACTTCTGTTTCTCCTACCCCGACTTCCATATTGTGCTATGCACCCAGTGACTGTTTTGATTTGTAAATGTGATAACCAGCATGCACCAATCTCCACTAAAATCTTGCTGTGCATAGCACATAGATCAAGATGCTGAAATAATCTCTCTTGCAGCTTGTGCTTTCTATTTCTTCTGTGCAAAAATTCAGCCAGAGTTAAACAGGGTGCTGTGCTCGGGAACACAGCACCCTGTTTGGGGGCTGTTCTTGGGTGCAGGCACCCGTCATGAGTCATTCAGAAGTCGAATTTGTCGCTAAAGCTCGGATTTCAGGATTCAGCAGATGCGCTCTACATGGCCAATAAATGGCAAAACATGATCAAACAGAGTCACCATCTCTGTTGTCTGTAGATTTCATTTCACATAATATTTAAAAAATCTTACACGGCAGGTCACAGCATATACTATGCAAGCTAGGAATTAATTACCCCATTCGATACGGAAAAAAGAGGATGATCACGTGAGAAATTCATCAGAAACTTCTAGTATGTAATATACCCAAGAATATGAATCCGGGCTACAAGGGCAGATGCTCGAGTAGAGCAGAGAAAATGATCCAAAGCTATGGGTCAGACGACACAGCTGCCTTCGTTGATGCAGGTGTGTCGTAGAAATAGCTAGGTGGCGGTAGACGTAGATTATAACCAAAAGCTCTTTACCAGCATGTCAGTTAATACCAAATTTTCTGAGACAGTAGAGGAAGTAGCCATTGCACTAGCATTGGGCTCTATTAACGCTCAATAAATCAGTAGCGATTCGAAGGCAGCCATTCGAAATTACGCAAAGGGCTGGATATCCTCGGAGACGTGGCACATCATATAAGTGTTAACCTTAACAATATTCTCTAATGTAGAGAAGAACGACAAGCAACTGCTCTGGTTCTTTGCGCATACAGCTCCAGGCATTCCCTTAGTCAACCCCAATGAGGTAACATATTTCGAAGCTTCGAAGCTCAAGGTCTTGCTCATTGAGCTGTGCAAGGAATGACTTCAATTGGTCAGGGGAATATGAAGATATCTGGAGAGCAAAAAAAAAAAAAGATTAACAAGATTTAGTGCTATAACCAAATTTTAGCGAATGCAAAGATGAATTTATACACCACTTCACTTAACTCAACAGAGCTGAATCTATTGCTTGGAGGTGATTACAACCAGAAACTATCCGAATCCCATGCAATTAAAGACTTTCTACCCTGCTATATATGTGAGTGATACATGCAAGCTATGCAAGTCTGCTAGAGCCACCTTAAACGTATGTTGTGGGGATGTCCAATATACAGTAGACTCTCAGTAAACGGAAATTTCATAAACCGAATCACTGCTTAAATGGAACAAGCACTCCTGACAAGATTGGTTTCATGCTTGTATTCTGCACCCTTGTTCATCTCTCAGTAAATGGAACTCTTTTTAAATGGAACATATTTACCTGGTCCCTTCAGGTTTCTTTTAATGAGAGTCTACTGTATCAAAATCATATGGTGGTCTCTCTAGAAGATCTGGAGGCGTGGGGGTCGGCCGTGCTGAACAGTTCAGAACTTACTGACCAACTTTGGGCTCCCCAGCGATCTGTGGAGGAAGCACGGAAACAACAGCTCCAAGCTGCTGTTCTAAGCGGCCTCAGGCCAGGTCCTTCCATTCATCAAATTTTATCAAACTTATTTCATCATCATCATCAGGTCGCAACAGCAATCAGACTCACTATAGATAAAATTTGACAGTTTGTTCGTTGAACACAAAAAAAAAAGCTCACTGTAGAATAAACGTACTTCAATAATGCATGTTGCTGGGCAAGTCGGTTGTACATGATTAAACAAGGTGCTGCAGTAAGGAAACGCTGACAGAGAAGTGAACAAAGACGGGCGCAGACTAGCAACTGATTCCTATTGAACAGAAAATGCATATTTGTGCATCCGACCAAGAGGTGACGTGCGCATGACGTACCCAAACAAGCCCAGCCCCTGTGCATGCGAGCAGGGTTGCTTTGTTGACTACCATTATTTTGTGGTCTTCTGCCCGTTTCTGCATGATTGTTCGGAAATGCTGGCTTACACGCGGTAGAGTAGATGAGCACAATGAGTGCGTGAACGCGTAGGAGCGTTCCACGGGGGTCGTCTGCTCAATGCGCTGACCACGGGGACCCGAACGCATGTGAAACGCTGGCACATTGACCCCGCATCTCGTAGCATTTCACGGGAAAAAATGTAAGAAAAATGCGCACAATTTTTTATTGCATCTCATTATTTATTTCAAGTTTTATTCATCTCCTAAAGCAACAAATACATAAACTACGAATGTTGTGTTAAATAATTTTTGCCATGTCACGTGGTATACTGTTGACAACATCAGAGCAGAGTCGTCTACGTAGAGGACCAACGTCACTGCATTGCCGTGTACGTAGGGCCATTCCTACGCCCACGTCATGCATTCATTCTCTACGGGTGCGCCGGCAGAGGTAAGGGGGAGCAGCTTTTATCTTCAAATTTGACCCATTTCCGTGGCGCGTAGCGTTGCAAATTTTGGCAGACGTGATCATGAACGCCTCGTCTGCGCATAGCGCTTGTCAGCTCAAAACTGTCAAACCTGGTGAGTGGCCCTTTAAGAGCTCGTTTCGCAGAAATGCTGGCATCGGCGTCGTTGATCGTGAATGAAAATTGACGCTGTTCATGACTGCACAATCAAGATTCAAATAAAATGAGCAGGCATGTTTACTTTGAGCCGCCAAAGTATTTGTCCTTGCGCGCTTTTCGAATTTCACGTCAGGTTCAGGTTATTTATATTTATGTGCATGCGTGTGTGTGTGAACAGTTGACAAGTAGTTGAGAAAGCACGGAAAGATTGAAAGTAAGGACTCGGGTTAGAACACTGGCCATTTCGCTTTGTCCAAGAGAACTTCACCGCCACCAAGCTCACCTCCCCCCCCCCCCCCCCCCCCATAGCCCCTCCTGTATATGTCCCTGTCAACTCTTAGTCTTTACTTGCTATGGTTCTTATGCCTCCAACCTCATAGCCACTAGAAACTTTGAGGGCCTTAAAGGATACCTACGCATTGTTGTAGTTTGCCACAGCACACTTCCGCCGCATCCGGAAGAACCACTGCTCGAACCATGCACTCGCCTTCCTCGCGGCATGAAAGGTGCGCGTAGACGCCAAGAATTTGGCCAAGGCGGCAGCGGCGCAACGCGAGGAAGCCAAGATTGCGAAAAGAATTGCGGCCACTTGTTAAGAACTTCACCTCCCAAATCCACCTACGCATGCACGCGCACAACATGTGAGCGAGGGGCGTGCACTTGTTCTTGTACCAGATGTCGTCTGCCCAGACACTGTTTAGCACCTCATTTCAAGCGTTGTACGGCTTCTAATTTTGGCAGTGCCAATCAGTAACTGGAACCAAAATATGTCACATCTGCTCTCCCCCCCTCACCTTACTAGGGCGGAGGAAGTTGTGATTACGAGGCTTCGGGCAGGGGTGACCCTTACATTGGCCCTAACTGGTCATCATTGAACTGGTCACATTTACCAGTTGCTAGTTGGTGATAATTGTTCGTATTGTCCACTCCAGTGATGCAAGTTTATTCATGCCACCTTATATGGACATGTCAAGGGTTACAGCCAGAATGCTCCCGTCACCTCCTTCAAGCCGGCCATCGCTACGACGACACAACCAGTGACAACCACTGGATACATGACAACACATTCCACAAGACACCACTTCATACACAACACCGGCCTATTGGCGCACATTTAATACACATACACACAAAAATATTGTCTTGAAGGCAAGTGTATGTTGCAATAAAAAAAAACAATTGATGTTACAGACAAAAATCTGAATAAATTTACAATGTATGAGGAGCTGTCGCGATTTTATGTGTCGCCTCCGTAGAACCGCATGTAAAAGATGGCAGCACTCCGAAAGCGTAATCTGGCGAGCTTTGGCGTAAACCGCATTCTTCCATGACGCCATCGCGTCGCCCTCGCCTAGTGCTGCAGCCTGGGAGTTTCTCCTCCTCAAATATTCTTGCTCCGTGCGTTTGGCCAATGTATTCTTTCCTGCATGTAAAAGGGATTGCATATACCACCCCCGTCAAATACTCTGAGTGGCATGGCTCTTAGTGCAATCTTGCACGCTCCTATTTGCAAAGGCAATGCAGGGGCATAGTGAAGCCAGTTTGTGTGGTGCAGATAACACTACCGACATCATGGGGATTGGCAAAATTCTTCAGGTTGTGAGACAGAATGGGTCACATCCCAAGTGTAAGAGCAACTTACCAGAATGCCACTTATCATGTGTACATGTTAGGAAGACAGCATTTTACTTGTCTGCACGAAAGCAGTAGTAGCTCAGTTACTAATGTTTCTGTCGCGTTGCATCAGCTGCCTTCTTTTATTTATGGCACAGTGGCTGCTCCTTAGTTGCATCTCGTCGGTAATTGCTGCATCTCGTCGGTAGTTAAATAACTCTTTGGTGGCACCAAGAATCTGGGCAGTCAGAATGACACTAGAAAAAAAAATGACCTCTTTCTGGAGGGTGAAAAATTTGCAGATAGAAAAATGCTTGCAGAAAGCAAGTATGTATTAAGGAAAAAGCATATAGATTTTGTGTTTTGTCACTTTTCAGTCCCAAAAACCAGTCTAGTCCCTTAATTGGTCTGGTTTCTGGTGCAGTAAGCCTTATGTCTTGATATATTTTTTTTTTGTGCAGGTTTGCAACAGATGCATTCAAAAGCCTCGTGGGCCTTCCAGTGGGTGGAGATGCTGTGGATGTCAAGTGTGTCTTGTGGTTCACGGTCAACGATGTTGCATTTGGTGAAAACTATCAATTGATGTATGATATGGTTACCGATGTTGTGGCCAGCTGTGGTATGCGACGCTTTGCTCTTGGAGGAGCGGTTCTTGAGCATATGGCTGTCAATAATGGCCTGAAAGGTGCTGATCATGCAGTCCTGTGTGCGGGGTTGAGCTTTTCTGGTGATTCAGTCCGTGCTGCATCTAAAATAGTTGCCCCAACTGTGGAAGGGACTGACAGAGTGGAGCGGGAGTTGATGCAATTTCGGCATGAGTCTGGCTTTGACAGTTGGGACAAGTCCTCTACCTATGGTTACATGTTTGCCTGTGTGGCACGTGGTGCGAGGTTGCATGGAAAAACAAATGTTGAGTCGGAGGTATTTTCACGTGTCTTTCCCGGTGTGCCACTCATGGGTGTTTTTGGAAATGGTGAAATTGGACTCGATTGTGTGCCAACTAATGGGCAAAAGATGGAACTTGTGAGGGAGAATTGCTTTCATGGCTACACCACAGTATTTGTTCTGCTGTCATGGAGCAAATGCCGATAACTGATTCTTTAATTAATGCATTTGTCAAAAGCTACGAGTCTCTTATCGTGAACTTGCTTTGGTACAATGGCAAAAGCAGGCTGCCACTATAAGGAAATGCCTTCGCTTGTTTTTCCTCTACCCTCCCTCTTTTCTTCCCATGTTATTCTATCATTTGCATAATTGAGCACTTATTACTTTGATTTTTATTTTTTTCTTGCCACTCTGATTTATCTGTGTAGTTGCCCAGGTGAAACAAGTCACAATCCTTAAAAAGTGGCTCCTGTTCAAGCATCTTACATTTCTTGTTCATTTCCTTTTCGTTTTGTCTTTTTGTTATGCGGTCTACTGTTGTAGATGGTAGTTTATTTGACATTTTGTAAATGGGTTTGTCATCTTGTTTAATTATTTGTTTTTAAATGCAAAGCATTTCTTAATGAACTTTAGCGGCTTTGAGCATATCTATCTATCTATCTATCTATCTATCTATCTATCTATCTATCTATCTATCTATCTATCTATCTATCTATCTATCTATCTATCTGTCTGTCTGTCTGTCTGTCTGTCTGTCTGTCTGTCTGTCTGTCTATCTATCTATCTATCTATTCTATCTATCTATCTATCTATCTCTTTTAGCTCTCCTGGCCATTTCGATAATGGTATCATGGTCTTGCTGCGCTTGCAGTGGTTTCATTTACATGACATATTTTTGTCATGCTATCTGCTAGTGTAGGCAGTGCTTACTGTGCATTTTGTTGAAAATGTACAGTTTGGAGCAAAAGTCTGTGAAGGGTCTTCCCAGCAGAAAAAAAAAGATATTCATTTCTTTTGCCTAGCAGCAGCCGCCCTGCATGAAATTTTTTCAGTACAGTAAATTATTTGAACAGTTATATGCCTAGTTTGTATCATATATATATTTGTTAATTTTTTATCATGGCATCTGCAGGGCTCTGACTTTTGCTGCTGACTGTACATAAGTTTGTTACCTAACATTTTTCACCAAGTTACCCTTATTTATTGTGTTATTTTGTTTCTGCACACCTGATATAACAGGCACTCATTTGTAGACCTTCGTCAGGGAATTCCTTGACGAAGGCAGGTCTTCCTTCCGAAACATTGGAAGTCGTGAACATTTTTGCACATTCGGCCGTCGTTTCTCAACGCATATATATATATATATATATATATATATATATATATATATATATTGTTACGATGCAGACACAGCAGAAGTTGGATATGGGAGAGCTCACTTTAATTACACGCAAGGCGCACGTAAAAAGAACCGGACAAGAACTTCGTCTTCCTTTCTTGCTGCGCTAGCTCTTCTCTGCAGGTTGAATGCGGCATTTGCCTCCCTCCAGGAAGAGCATCGTCCCGATGCTCTGCGACAAAATACACAGTGTATGTAGTTGACGTATTATGCAACTGGCTCACTGCAATATGGCTTCATCGGCACAACGTGTACGATTTCAGATTTTTTTATTGGTAAGATTACAAGAATGTGACATGTGTTTAGTATACAAAAGGAGGTCCCAAAGTCAAAGACTGTATCGGGACCTCCTGTTAAGGGCAAGTTGAGGTAAAACACTGTTAGAGGCAGCATAAGCAATATTCAAAATTATAAACTAAGCATAATTGCAACAGAACATTGAAATATATATATATATATATATATATATATATATATATATATATATATATATATATATACATACATAAATACATACATACATACACATACAATATATACATACCAAAAGAAAACAAACATGAAAGAAAACCAAATGAATCAATGAATACTATGAAGAGTATAACTGAAAAAGAATACAAAAAGTTGTAATACATAACATGTGGGAATTCAAACAAGGTAGCCCTATGGCAAGAAACAGTAAGACTAGGCATGCATAATGTGTGATTTTAGTTTTTTCTTGTAGTGATGCAAGTTTCTAGCATTTTTAATAACAGATGGTATTGTAGTCCAAAATGCTATAGATGAAAATTCAGCAGTTAGTTTGCCATAATTAGTACGTACCTTAGGCAAAAGTACGTTATTGTTACGTGCAAATCTAGTATTACTATGAGCAACAAGGTCGGAAGATGAGAAGCAGATAGGAGGTAGTGTCTTGGTTATATATTTATAGAATATGATACCTAAGTTGTAATTGAAGAGCTCTGAAATGGTCAAAATGTTGTTATCATGAAGTAGGCATTTACCGTTAGAAAAATGTGAACTGTTAGTAATGATTCTTATGGATTGGTTCTGTAGTACTTGAAGGGAAGCCAAATGAGTGTTATAGGTGTTACCCCAGCATATTATGCCATAATTAATATGAGAATGAACGAATGAATAGTAGAGTGACAGTAAAGTGGAACTTGTGAAGTATGGACGAGTTTTAATCAGAGCGCGGATGCCGTATGCTATTTTCTTTTTGATGTCAGAAATATGATCTATGTATTTCAAGCTAGAATCGAGAGAAATTCCGAGAAAAGATGCGCAGGGACTGGGAAAAATAGAGTGCGAGCCAAAAGTCAATGAAGGAAAGGATGCTGAATATTTTTGATGCGTTGAAAATACTACAAATTTAGTCTTGGTTGCATTAATACTTAACAAGTTAGCACTGCACCAACGTGAAACATTTTTCAAGTCAGTGCTTAGCTTGTCGACGTGAAGTGAAATGCTTTTGTCAGAAGTAAATATGGTAGTGTCATCAGCATACAAAATGGAATTAGTGAAGGACATACAGTTAGGAAGATCATTTATATAAATTAAAAACGGGAGCAGTCCTAAAATGGATCCTTGAGGGACACCAATATTAGTAGATAATTCCTTAGAATATACATTAGAAATCGACACAAGTTGAACGCAGTTATGCAGGTAGCTTTTTAGTAATGCTAAAGCAGGACCACATACACCGGTCACTTCATGTTTATTAAAGAGAATGATGTGATTTAAACTGTCGAATGCTTTTGTTAGATCGATGAATACTGATCCTGTAAATAAACCTTTGTCAATGAATTTTTTTAGTTGATCGGTTAGATGAATGAGTGCTGGATCAGTAGAGAAATGATTGCGAAAGCCGAACTGACAAGGGGACAGAATATTTAATTTATCAAGGTAATTGGTTAGGCGTACTCCAATCAACTTCTCAAGAACTTTACCAAAAAAGGGCAGAATGCAAATGGGTCGGTAATTATTAATCAATGTCCTATCACCTTTTTATGAACTGGGATAATTTTACCGCGTTTAAGCTCTTTAGGAAATACGCCTGTCTTGAATATCTAATGCGTAATGAAACACAATATATCAGAAATTAGGGGCGAAATGAGTTTTATATGAGAAGGCAGGACTTCATCAATTCCTGCACTGGTAGATTTGAGGTGTATTATGACATTATGTATTTCTTCAGGAGTAGTGGGAAAGAAAAAAAAAACTAATGAGGGAGGCGTCTAAGTGGCGTGATTTGTGTGGGACAGGGTGAGTCAGCGCTAAAACAGTAGGAACAGAAAGCGTCAGCTATGTCGATAGGCGAGTTAAATTCAATGTTGTCGATTACAATTCTGGATACTTGGTAGTGAAAATTCCTATTTAGAAAGCAGTTTACAATGTCCCAGTTTGCGATAATGTCCCAGTTTGCGATATTTTTTCTTCTAGAAAAGAACGTTTCGCAACTTTTAAGTGCTTGTTTACAGCATTACGTAATTTTTTGTAGCGGGCAATTAACTTAGTATTGAATGGCTGACTTTTAGTTTTTTTGTAGAGGTCCCGTCTACGTAAAGCAGCTAATAGCTTTTGAGACATCCATGGATTATGAGAAAATGCTAATATTTTTTTACATTTCTTTTTGGATGTGATTTTTTGGATATGCAATATAATTAAGGAAAAAAATTTAGAAAATGCTTTTTGGGGATCATTACAAGATTTAACCTCGGTCCAATCTAAGTCCTCTATGGTGTTTATGAAACTCTCTTTATCCAGAACATATTGTTATTGGAATGAGGAAGAGTGCAAGGACGTAGTTGTCGATTGAAGCGTAGGAGCAAAGGATAATGATCAGTAATGTCACTGTCGAGAACTTTAAGCTGCGGAGATATTAGCGAGTTAGATAAAGCATGATCTATCAGGGTCCCAGCACCGCTGGGAACTTGCTGTGTAGGAACATCATTTAAAGACTCAAATCCATAGCTTTGCAGTAGACTAGTGTAACTAATAACAACAGGTGAAGTGTAATCGAGTAAGTTAATGTAGATGTCACCCATTAAAATGGCAGTTTTATTCTCAAGAGAAATGATATGTAGGACATTTTCAAGATTAGAAAAAAATCTTCGACTGAAGATGAGGGAGATTGGTAAATGCAGCCAAATATGAAATCTCTCTGATCGCAAGATGGAGAGCAATTAGTGATTTCAATCAAAACTGATTCGCAATTAGTTACAGGCAAATGCAAATCATGTCTTCTTTTATAAGAAAGATCAGGAGATATAAAAATGGCCGCACCACCATGACTGCTAGTTATTTTGTTACAGTATTCTGATAACCATGTTTCTGTTATGGCAATAAGTGAAAAAGAGTTGCTATATGAAGAAAGTAGATCATGCATTTCATCGAAGTGTTTACGCAGGCTCCAAGCATTGAAATGAATGATATAATTATATCCACTTATGAATGAATTAACATGGTCTGGTTCTATAAGAGTATCCATGTTGATGCGAGACAAAAATGATGCAATGATCACATTGTACAAGGCTTAGTCTATTTTTGTCAAATCGAAGTCATCGCGAATGCGCAGGACTCTGCTATTAGTAGTCTTTCTAGCTTTAATTTGACAGTTGTCTGTCCAGAGAAACATCCAGTTCTTTTCCTTTTTTAGTGTTAAGGTTTTGAAAAAGAGGACCTGGTTGCTTGGAGTCAAATGATCATTGATGAAGACAGGGGCGTTAGTACCACCAGTGATACCTAGATCACTAGCACAGAGCTTCGCTTTACGTGCTTTACTGATGTAGTCAGATTTCTTAGTCCGAGAGCAGAAGCGCGCAATAATGTTTATTTTATCTTTAGACCGTGTTGGTACGCGATACACAATGTCGAGATCAGCAGGCAATATGGGACAGCCAGCCTTCTCCCTTATCATTTTCACTATTGCACTGCAGTCTTCCCCCTGAGAGCAGGGAACGCCCTTGATCTCCACATTGCTCATGCGCGAGTATTGCTCCAGTTCCTCAACCTTGCGGCTGAGGGAGTCATTCTGGGTTTTCAGCTGTTTTTTCTCATTTACCAATGTGACATTTTGGTTACGTAGGTCCTCGACAAGTTCGTTCAAATGCTCCGCACTCAATTGTAGGGATACAACTTCTTTTTTTAGTTCAGCAACATCTATGCCCGATTCTTGAAGCTTGAGTAAGAACCTGCCGAAGACCTTTTCAGATGTGTCCTTAGCCAAGCTCCT